TGGGCAGGGGCGGGGGCCTCCCTCCCTCTTCGCTGGCGCTCCTTGAGTGACTGGTCGCGGAGACGATCGGAATGGGGCTAACCCGATGCTGTGGGGCTTGGTGCTGGCCGCCAATGGCTCACTTTGGTGTGGCTGGGTTTTTGCTGAGATGTCAGGTGCCCTGTGTGGGGCGTCCGGTGCAGTGGGGCTCAGGAGGCCAAGGGCCTGACCTGCTTCGTGGAACTTTGAAGTTCCAAAGTTGGCAGCAGAGGCTGTAGGGTTTTTGCCTCTTTGGCGTTTTTTTGGTTTTGTTTTGTTTTGTTTTAAGAGAAAGTCTCATGCAGTTCAGGACGCCTGCGTGCTGGCCTCGAACTCTCAGCGATCCTTCTGCCTCAGCCTCCCCGAGTGCTGGGATTACAGGTTTGCGCCAACAGTCCTGGCGTATTTTGCCTCTTTGAAGCTGTGAATTTTGTGTGCCAAGTCTCAGAGATAAACTGCTTGTGTTTAGCAGTTCCCACAGTGTATGGGGCTTGGCTTTTTAAATCTCCAGTAGTTTTATTGTATCCACAATAAGTTTACCAAGAAAAGTGAACGGTTGAAATGATGCTTTGCTAGGCAGTTGCGGTGTTACTGAATGTGGATAAAATAGGTGAAAATTCCAGCGGGATTAAATCTAACATGATTACAGAGTTGTTAAGGCAGTAATGGGGATTGAACTTGGCCTTGGCCTTGAGCTTCATCTCCAGCCCATATGATAATATATGATGTGAGGTCTATTAGTGATTTTTATCTTGAAATTATATTCACTTTTGTGTTCCTTATCTTTGTAGGTTTTAAAATCAAAGATGGGAAAATCGGAGAAAATTGCCCTTCCCCACGGCCAGCTTGTTCATGGTATACACTTGTGTGAACAACCAAAGATAAACAGACAGAAAAGTAAATATAACTTGCCACTAACCAAGATCACCTCTGCAAAAAAGAATGAGAATAACTTTTGGCAGGATTCTGTTTCGCCTGATAGAATTCAGAAGCAGGAAAAAAAGCCTTTTAAAAATACTGAAAACATTAAAAATATGCATTTGAAGAAATCAGCATTTCTAACTGAAGTGAGCCAAAAGGAAAATTATGCTGGGGCAAAGTTCAGTGATCCGCCTTCTCCTAGTGTTCTTCCAAAGCCTCCTAGTCACTGGATGGGAAGCAGTGTTGAAAATTCGGTCCAAAATAGAGAGCTAATGGCAGTACACTTAAAAACGCTCCTAAAAGTTCAAACTTAGATTTCAGTATGTATGTAAAACATAGTTTTTCCCAAATCCCTGGACTCTTTAAAAGAAAATTGGTACAGAAATGGAAATTTGCCTTTGTACCATTTGAGTGCAAAAGATGAGCTTAGAATACAAACAGCTTGTATTATATTTTATATTTTGTAAATACTGTATAACATGTATTATGTGTATATTGTTCATATTTGAGAAGTACATTATAGTTTTGTTATGAAAGTATGTATTTTGACCTGCCAACATGGTAGGTGTTTTGTATATATAGTGGACAAATTTTAACTGTGCTGAGGCACATGGAAGACTGATTGATTTGCACAAGGTACTAAGAGATTTTTTTCAAGAAACAGCTGTTAAAGCTCAAAGTGAAGATCTAAATGTGAACAGTTTACTAATGCACTACTGAAGTTTAAGTCTGTGGCACAATCATTGTAAACATGGGGTTTGTCTGTGTTTCTCTAAACTGATTTCTGCCTTCTAATTTGTAATTCCTGGAAAATTCTTATTCTCATTTTTACCAAACTCAATTTATGGATTTTGGTATGTAGCCATTTATTCAAATTGAAAAATGCCTCTAATTTTAATGCCAACAGAATTGGTTGTAATCAAATTTTAAAGTAATAATAATTTGGCCCTCCCCCTTTTAACTAGTCGTGATTCTTTGTGTATGACTGTTTCTTGATTGAATGTGACCAAGAGATGATTTTATATGATTGGATTTTAACTTTACATTTCATTGGCTTTGTCTTTGGCTTTATGCGGATACCATCCCACAAACTTTAGAAGATTGAGATAACTTACTTTCTTTGGTGGGGGGACAATCTTTTTTAGTTCCTGCAAGCCTTGAACTCGCTATAAAACCCAGGCTGGCCTCAAATTGGCAGTGATCCTTCTGCCTCAACCTTCCAAGTGCTGGGATTACAGGTGTGCATCACCATGCCCAGCTAGAAGATTGAATAATGTAGTTTGGCCTCTGAGAGAATCCTCCATCAAAGGCTCCTTAGTTTATAACTTACAATTTTTTCTTTTAAATAGAAGATCTTGTCCAGACTGTCTTCCCAATTAGAGATCCTCCTGCCTCAGCTTTCTGAGTAGAAAAGATTTTTATATGTGAGCCATTTTATAAAGTACTATTTGATTTACATGCATTTTTCAGTGAAAGAAAGTGACACTTTAAGGTGCCAGAAGGATTGGTGGAAGTTTGAGGCCAGCCTGAACTATATGACAAGACCATATCTCAAAAAGAAAAAAAAGAGGATACTTGGTTGGTTTACTAAGTTTGCACTGATGGATTTTTGTTTTGCTTTCTACTATGGTACTGGGAACTGAATCCACAACTTAACACTTGGTTGGCATCAAACTTGGGATCGTACCTTTGCCTCTGAAGTAGCTGAGATTATTATAGGTGCACACCCAGCTTGATTTTTTTTTTTTGTTGCTTTGAACCAACATAAGTGTAATGTTATGATACTAGATGCAGATTTTGGATTCAATAGCTCACTTGAAGATAAATACAATATATGTAGTTGTACTTTGTGAAAGTACAGACATTCAAACATTGTTCTCAGTGTGTTTATATATGTCTTTGCAGCTGGGAAGTTATTAAATAGAACTGTGGGCTTTATGTTATACAAAGTAAAGTTTATCACGTAAGTTTTTCTGAGTTTAGCCAATGTTTAGACATAGAAAAAGGAAAAAGATTTTATGACGAGTAAATGCTGTAAGGTAGGAGATGAGAAAGGGGTTACCTGGAGCTTAATTTTAGAGTTTGTACATTTTGGTTCATAGGCGAAACAATTTCGTAGCTGTTTGAAAGTGAGTACTGTGTATGGCCATACCACCCTGAACACGCCGGATCTCTGAAAGTGAGTACTGTTGTTTCAGGCTAACTTTACAATCACTATTGACTTAAAGCAGTGCCAAGAGGGTGTAACATGTTAGCGTTCCCTGATAAAGTCATGTGCAGGTGAGTGTATCATAAACCTTGCTACTCATTATTACTGGCTATAAAGCCTTTCATATGTAGAAAAATTTAGCTTTATTCAGTATTATACATATAGCTTTGTGTAAATGTAGAGAAACTGGTACATTAGTATGGAAATGTAGGTGAAGTCAACGTTGTGATGAAGACTTTAAGAGCTTTAAGAGTTAATACTCAAAGAGAATTGCTGAAAATCTTCAGAGTAACCGTGAAATAGACTATATTATGAAGTATTAAATAGGTCTTACAGTTCGAAGAGTGAAAAAAATTGGTTGGTTTATACTATAGATATATATTCAAGGAAAAGGTATTAGTGAATGTTCTATAGTAATCACCAGCTTCAGGCCTAGGTTTAAACTAGTAGTTTGGTAAAGGGGCTCATTAATTGCAAAGGGATAAGAGCTTTATAAGTTTGAAGAAACAATTCTTGCATCATTGGCACTTCACTAGAGAACTAGTATGTGATTAGTATTTTATGCTGAAGTTTTGAGCTGTTTACACTTTGATACCAACTTTGTCCAACTCGCAGTTGATTGTGACATGGAAGGTGCTCCTCTTATTTGCATTAATATTGGTGCTAAGTAGTTTGTTAGTGTTTTTATTGGTGGAGAAAGGGCAAAAGATCAAATTAAGGTTAACAGAAACCATTCTTTTCAAATTATAGTAATACAAATTTTGCAGTAGTTTATATGATTTATAAGCTAAAAGACTGAAATGTTAGGCAAGTAATCATTTTTTAGGTTCAGCATTCAGGTTTTGGGCATAGTACTGTATAATCAGTTCTTTCCCTATATTAGTGTAAAGCTAGCATACTATACTAATGTGGAAATCAAGTGATTATGTGCTTGGGGAAATGGTTTGTATACTTTATTCTCCCGGAATCTGAGTATTGAACCCAGGGCTTCCTGCATGCTAGGCATATGCTCTATAACCCCCAACCTTTTTTTGGAGGGGGCTGGGGGCATGTCTCGCTGTGTTCCTCGGTTCCAGCTGTGTTTGAATTTGCAGTCCTGCCTCAGCCTCCTTAGTAGCTGAGATTATAGGCATCCTGAACCACTGCACCCAGCAGCAGCTTCTTTTGCCTGATACTTAAAACTCATTTGGAAGCCACATGAGCCAGGTATCAGGTACATGCCTGTAATCCCAGCATTCTGGAAGTCTGAGGTCGCGGAAGAGCCCAAGTTCAAGCTCAACCTTGGGCAACTGAGTAACACCTTGTATCAAAATAAAAACTCTAAAAAGGGGTGGGGAGTGTAAACTGAAAGCCCTGGTGTGAAGGCCCTGGGTTCATTCCACAGTACTGGGAGGGGTTAGCGGAAGCATTGAGTTGGGCTCTTAAAAAAAGTCAGCAGTGTTTAATACACAGCAGTAAAAGACAAAAGTGAGCACCTGGGCATGGTGGCACAGCCTGGAATCCCAGTACTTGGGAGGCTGAGGCAGGAGAATCTTGGAGGCCTGCCTGGGCTGCATAATGAGTTCAAAGACAGTCTGAACTACACAGAGACTGTCTTTAAAAAAAAAAAAAAAATCCAGAGTGAATGAAGAGATGTAGAATGTACAGTTGTCTGAGAGGTGAGACTAGATTGAATATATCTAAAAGGTATATTGTAAGAACATTAAAGACCTTGACCGTCATGCTGAAGAGTGTCAGTTTTTTTGTATGTGTAAGCACGACAAGTCAGGTTTATGAGGAAGGGAATGTATTACTTGAAAAATTGGTTGAAATATGAAGAACAGTTTGGGAAGAATACTTGAAACAGCACATGAGCATATTATAGTTCAAAAGAAGAAAGGAGCCTTTTGACATCAGAGGGAATAGACTTATTTTGAGGGGATGAGAAAAGGCTTTTTTTTTTTTGGTACTGGAGATCCGAAGTCGGGACCTTGCACTTTTCAGGCAGGCATGGTGCCACTGGACTACATACCTAGCAAGGCTTTTAACAGTAGGAGGATGAAGCAAGCAATTAGGGAACTGTGCAGAAGGATTGAAATTACAGAGGAAAGTAATTTTCATTTGGCTTGTTGAACTTTGAGGTGCCTGTAGGTCATCTCTGGGAGGGCACAACAGAAAAGGTCATACCTAGAGGTGTACACCTTTAGTAAGGTGAGTATAGAAGCAGTAATTACAACATAAAAATGAAACCAATGTAGTTTGTCTTTCCATAACCTCTCCATTTTCTCTCAAGGCATAACACGTACTAGTGACATCCTCTGCCTTATATGGATTTAATTACATCTATAATTGCCAATTAGTTGTTAAATTAGAATATTTCCTCTCAACTCTCAAATAGAGGTTGGTTCTCTCTACCTACCTATAAAAGAGAAAATGACACCCATTTCTCTAGTCTTCCACATGCTTTTATAAATGGGTTTCAGTAAATTTATTTCTCATAGCCTAATATGTAAAGTAGGAATAGGCTATAACTCAAGAAAAATGTGTGGTTTTCTACTTGTAAGACGTCAGAGATGATTCCTCAGAGTGGTGGACTTTCTTTATTGTGGTATGGTATGAAAGCTGTTTTGTATTCAGTAAAAAGTGGACTTCAGATTTTGATCCATTTCCTGGCTAGCGATACGAAGTAAGATCCTTGCTTGTGATGCTGGGTTGCAGAAGTGAGCCACGGCTCCCAGTTAGCCCTTGGATCAGGATAAACAACTATTCTAATGTGTCCTGTTGCTAAGCTGCAGGTTTATTAGGTGAGATAAATACATTTTCAATCTCAATGGGTTCAGTGGATCATAACCCCATCATTACATGAGAAGCACCTGTAGTACTAAGTGCATTCTTCCAAGGCTATATACATAATTACTCCTGACTTACAGGAATTTAATCCAAAATTAAGAATTTGTTAACCTGACTAGTTGTCAAATCCAAATTACAAATGTAGAAGTCTAAAATCTTGAGGAAAGGGATGGCAGGTAAAAGGAATTTTTTTTTTTTTTTGAGACAAGGTTTTATATACTCCAACCTGAAAATCCTCCTGCCTCATCCTCCTGAGTGCTATTGAAAGGCATGGACCACCATGCCTAATTATTTTCAAGTTTAAATAAAGCTAAGTTCTTTGGCTCAATTCTCAGGCTTTTAAAAAGTATCCAAAGCCCTTTTTAGCCAGGTGTGGTGGCACACGTGCAAGAGGATCACTCCTTGCCACAGGTGAGTTCAAGGCCAGCCTGAACTACATAGTGAGAATTTGTCTCAGCCCTCTCCCCACAAAAAGCCTTTTTCCTTCTGTAAGCATTTTGATGACTTTTTATTTCCAGTATACAAATGTTTGATTTAAATTGACCTCAAAATTGCTTAACAGGCCCGGGCATGGTGGTGCACGCCTGTAATCTCAGCACTCGGGAGGCTGAGGCAGGAGGATCCCTGTGAGTTTGAGACCAGCCTAAGCTACATAGTGAGTTCCAGGTCAGTCTCAACTACATACCCTGTCTCAAAAACAAAAAAAATGCTTAAGAGGGTAAGATCTTCAAACAGGTGCTAGAGAACCCAGGGCTTTTGGACTGAGTCCAGCCCTTTCAGTTATTACAGTATTTATTTATTCTCTTGCTCATTTATTTATGTGGTGCTGGGGACTGAACCCAGGATCTCACACATACTAGGCAAGTTGCTCTACCAGAGTTGCATCCCTTTTTATTTTGAGTCTTGAATTGCCCAGGCTGGGCTAGAACTCCAGTCCTCCTCACAATCTCCCAGAATGCTGGTATTTACAGGCATACCTACCACACCTATCTGAGGAATCATACAACTCTTTTCCCAAGACAAAATAAAACCATATCATTTAGAAATCATTGCTATTGGGGTATGATAATCTGCTTCATTTGTAATACTAGGGTTTGAACCCAGGGCTCCATGCATGGTAGGCAAGTGAGTACTCTGCTCAGAAGTATATCCCTAGCCTTTTTATTTATTTTTAGTTTTTTTTTGGTACCGGGGATTGAACTGGGGACCTTGTGCTTGCGAGGCAGGTGGCAGAACCACTGAGCTAAATCCCCGGCCCTGGTCTTTTTAAATTTTGAGACAGTGTCTCACTAAATTGTTCAGGATAGTCTTGAACTTGGAATTTTCCTGCCTCAACCTGAGTATCTGGGATTACAGGCATTGGTTACTGTGCTTGGCTTATATTTGTATTTTTTAATTCAGCCTTTCTTCACATGCTATCATTAAATAAGACAGCTGCTTTTCTATTTATTTTTTTTTTTTTTAAATAATATTGGCAGGTAGTCCAGGCTGGCCTCAAACACACTGCCTCAACTTCCTGAGTGCTGGGATTGCAACGTATGTGCCACCTTGTCCAGCTTGTTCTAATTATTGTGCTATTTCAACTAGACAGATGTTGAATCAACCTGAAATGTTGATCTAACATTTCCAACAGACTATTATATTTTGAAAAATATATTTGACCCAGTTGTCTTTGTGCTTGATTTATAATTATGAATATCCTTTTCCCTACTCCCCCTCATTCTTAGACCTTGAACACCCCCCAACACTACCACCACCATCTCCACAACCACACATGGTATTGAGGATTGAATCCAGTGACTCACCAATGCTAGGCAAGCAGTCTGCCAATGATGTACATAAATTCCTGGCCCTTTTAAAGTCTAGATAAGGTCTAAGTTGCTCAAGCTGGTTTGAGCTTTTGATGCTCCTGCCTCGCCCTCTGAAGTAGCTGGGAATATAGGCATACATATGGTATCTTGTGAGAAATTATAATTTTAATGTTCAGGATTATAATTATTTCTAAATATTTTATTTAAACGTTAATTTTGTATCTGGCAGTGGGATCAGAATACAGGCAGTAATTTATGTATATGTGTGGTGCTGGGGATTGAACCCATGGCCTTTGCACTGAGCTTCATCTCCAGCCCTTTTATTTGAGACAGTTCTTGCAAAGTTGTTGAGTTCCCCAGGTTAGTGCAAACATGCAGTCCTCCTGCCTCAGCCTCCCAGAGTGCTGCAATTATAGAAATGTGCCACCATACCTGGCATAATGGCAGCAACTCTTATTGGTAATACAATAATTTTTCTTATATTTTAGCTGGGCCTGGTGGCAAGGACTGTGATCTTAGTACTCAATGCTGAGGCATGAGAATTGGTTTGAGGCCAAATGGGCTATGTTTGGTGTTCAAGTTGCAAAAAAAAAAAAAAAATAAAAAAAATAAAAGGTCCTACCTGGGCATGGTGGCACATGGAGGCTGAGGCAGGAGGATCGCTGCAAGTTCAAGGCCAGCTTGGGCCATATAGTTGGAAAAAAAAAAAAAAGAAGAAGTCCTAGCCCAGTATGGTGGTGCACACATGTGGGATGCTGAGGCAATAGAACAGAGTCCAAGCCAACCTAGCCTATTCAGTAAGTTCGAGGCTAGCTTAGCCTACATAGCAAACCTTGTCTCAAAAGCAACAAAACCCCAAATAATGGTCTTGAATTTAATTTTATTTGAAAAAGCTATTATCCCAGTGGCACAAAATTAAATCCTAGGTTGCAAATAAAATTTCCAACGAGTTTGTTTTTTTTTTGGTACCAGGGATCAAACTCAGGACCTTCAGCTTGCAAGGCAGATGGCAGAACCACTGATCCCAGGTCCACAAGTTCATTATCTTTTAGCAGCTATAAATTAATGGCTGCTATACAAAAATTACTGGGCATTATTTGCAGGGAAAAAGAAAAGCAGCTACATTTGACCATGTTTTTCTTTTTTTTTTCTTTTTCACGTTTAACTTCTTTGGCCTTAAGTTATCTTGAACAGTGATAGGTATACCCCTGTATTAAACTTGGGAAGTATCTAAGTACATGTATTCTCTTAAAAGAAATTGATTATAGATGTGTAAGCAAAACATTTGCTTTATTGCCAGGTGTGTTGTTGCATGCCTACTAACCCAGCACTTGGGAGACTGAGGGAGAAGGATCAGTATGAACTGGAGGCCAGCCTGAACTACATATCCAGACCCTGTCTCAAAAATCCAAACCAAACCAAAACACTTTTGTTTTATTAATAGACAGTCTTATCCTAAGTATCTCTCTTAAATGGCCCAAGAAATAATTCTATGACAAAATGAATTCACAATAAAGATATTCCCAGAAGACATTTTTTTTTTTTACGATATCCAGCCAATCACTTTTTATCCAGAGTCATGGAAACATTTTTACTGAAGCATTTATTTTCCTAATTCTATGTTTTCATGTCTCTCTAAATATTTTATTAAGCATCTATCTCTCAAAGACTTCTCTGTTTCTAAAAGTCATAGTGTCAGGAAGACTGGAACCCAGGTATTTCCTAGCATCTCAGTTAAAATGGTGATTTGCATCACAAGTTTCCTTATTTGCAGTTATTTACCTAATAAGGTGGTTGTAAAAATTAGGTGAATGACTTGAAATTTATAGAGCAGGGTCAAGCACATAGTAAATGCTCAAATAATTTGAGCTATAATTCCAGCTTTTCCATCAAATCAAAAGGATCCCTTCTGAGCAGCCTAGGGATTACCATGGAAAAGCAAGTCAAAGTTAAATGGAAGCACTACTGTGTCCAAGAATACTGCTGTAGCTTTTTATTAACAGATAACGATTTGTGAATGCAGAGCAAAAACAAACCCAGGGCCTTATGCATGCCAGGCAAGTGGTCCATCACTGAGCTGCTGAATGCTGTACATGTATGAAACCATTTATTTATATTAATATTTGTCTTACTAGTTCTTCAGATTCTCCTTTAAATGTCAATAGTGCTACATAATTTTATAAATGAACACTTCAGGGTTGTAGTTTTAAAATGAGTTTTGCTATATTAAATAGGGAAATCTATTAAAAAGTACAATATATATGAATTTATGGTACTTGTCCAAATACTACTGGCAAATAAGTTATTTTTGTAATGTTGCATATTCTAACATGCAAAGAAAAGCAAAATTTCTTTTCAAAAGAAGTAGAAGCAACAATGATACACTAAAGATATAAACTATATACTAAAGATATAAAACATTTCTTTTTTGGGGGGTACCGGGGATTGAACTCGGGTCCTTGCGCTTGCAAGGCCAGCCACTGAACCGCTGAGCTAAATCCTCAACTAAAACATTTCTTAAGCATTCTATAAATATGAAGTACATGGGTTGATAACTTAAGTCTCAGTAATATAATGCACTAAGGTACAAAAGTAGAGCTCTGTAAATATGAAAAACTGAAAAAGAATTTTTTTGAAACAGGATCTTGTTGTATAGTTTAGTCTGGCTTTGTACTCAAAGTGGTCCATCTGCCTCAGCTTCCCAAATGCTAGGATTATAGGCATTTCCTGCCACACCTGGCTGCAAATACATTTCTTTTGGTACCAGGGATGAACTAGGGTGTTGCACTTGTGAGGCAGGCATGGTGCCACTGAGCTAAATCCTGGACCCTACAAATACATTCCTTAAAAAAAATTCTTAATCATAACAATTATAAAAGCAGTAACTATGTTAACAATGTTATTTGGTTAAAAAAAATAAAAGCAGTATAATGTAAAATTCAGACCCTGTAAAATTACTTTTTGAAGATAAGTTTTGAGTTTCTTAATAAAAGGTACTATTCTCAGAAATAAGGCATTCTATATTATTTAAAACACTGAGAGCTCTAAAAAGAAAAGCAGATGAAAACTAGAAATAATGGTAAAAATATGATTTTATACAAAATGTACTCTTTTTCAAATGTATTAAGGTACTTTTTTTTCCTTCCCTGGTACTAAGTACTGAACCCATGGACCTTTGAATTAAGCTGTATTTCCAGTCCTTTTTAAAGTCTTGAGACAAGTTCTTGCTAAATCACCAGGTTTCCCAGGCTGGGTTCAAACTTGTGATAGTTTTGTCTTAGCCCTGAAGAATGTATGGCTTAAAATGAATATTTTTGCATAACAATTTATGCCAAATGGTTTGCAGGCCATAATTTTTTGAAAACATAAGTTTAGAGAAAAATTTTAGAAGCTCGAACCACTTAAAATCCAGTTTTTTTTTTGTTTTTTTTTTTAAATTGGTACCAGGGATCAAACTCAGGACCTTGAGCTTGTTAAGCAGACAGCTGTAAAATCCAGTATTTCTAAAAATGTTTCCATTATTTCCTATCAGTTTATCTTTACTGTTCTATTCAATAAAAATATAAGCTTCTCTGAGCTCGGGAGACAATGTATCCTTTGAATCCTTGATCACTATATAAATGTACTTTTGGGGCCTTCACAATGTTGTTATTTGAACTAGTACCCTACCAGGAATTGGCCTAAGCTTAAACAAAAACTAAACAGATATCAAACATATAAAATCATAATTACTTTTTACATGAAAAATGCTTTAAAAATAATTTTTGTTAAAGTTATTAATAGAACTAATACTCAATACCCAAATGGAATTCTAAATTGATTCCATTTACCCATTTTCTTTGAGAAGTAACCTTTTGTTAAATGTAAATTAAAAATGTTCCATTGTAAATCTTGTTAAATTCCCTTCCTTTCCTACCCTGAGAAAAGGGATCTAGAGATGGAGGCAGGGAGGAGGGTAGGGATAGGAAGGAGAATAAAAAAGAATCAAGATCTATGTACATGTACCTACTCCCTAACACAAATGTAAACTACATGTACTACTAACTTTTACTAATAAAATTTCTTTTAAAGAGTTCATAAAGTGGTAACATTAGACACATAATTTGTGGTGTGGGCCCTTAACTGAGACCAAATCTTTATTAATCCAAATCTAGAAAGGTATTATTACTTCCACATGCCCAAAGTAACTAATATCAACTCAAATTTTTGTAAGCCTCGAAGAGTTTTTATTTAACATAAGGAGAGATATAATAACTTATATTAAAGACTATGTAATGCTCTTCTGTTGTTCACCAACTGTTTTTATGACGATAACTCCGAGATCTGGAATGTGACCGAAAATGAGAACGTTTTGCTGTTTGTGCTTTAGTTTCAGAATTGGTATACCCTTTGGGAGATTTACATGGGGATCTTGCTATCGAGTCAGAATGTCTTCCATGTGATCTTGATTTTGTTCCTGAGCTAGTCTGCTTTTGAGGTGAACTTGACTGTGATTTTCCTATTGACTTGGACCTTTTTTGTAAGGATTTGGACCTTGACCGTCCTCTAGAACCAGAATTCCTTCTTGGAGTTCTTGACTGCCGTGCTGAGGTAGACCGCCTTGGTAGTGATTTCGAACGAGATTTAGACTGGCTATAAGAGAATCGCCTGTGTCGAGACCTGCAAACATCCATATGGTTAGAGCATATATTTCATACAAAGCAACAGGTTAAGAAGAAACATCTTCAGGAACTTATATGCTTCATATAACAGTTATGATTTTACTAGAGAAGCTACAAGTAGCAGTTTTTTTTGTTTTGTTTTTTCTTGGTATAGGAGATTGAACTCAGGACCTTGAGCTTGCAAGACAGGTGCAGTGCCACTGAGCTAAATCCCTGGCTCTGTTCTTTGTTTTACTTTTTATTTTTTATTTTTGTTCTTTGTTTTAAATAATGCCTGGGGATTGAACACAGGGCCTTGTGCCTGTTAGGCAAGTGTTCTACCACTAAGAAACAACGCTACTTTTATTACATATTCATTTGCTTCAAACATAAATAACAAGTTTATAATATTTGTTACAGTCAAATATATGATTAAAAGATTTTAACTTTGCTTGATATCTCTTAAGAATCAGTTCTGAAATATGTCTTCCATGTTTAGTCTAGGTTGAATAGCACTTCAGAAATACAAAAACCTTAAAAAAGATTAAAAATAGAGACAGAATTACTTAAAGTTTATCGAATACTGCTCAAAACAAAACCTAAGCTGGGCATGGTGGTGCATACCTATAATCCTAGCACTTGAGTGGCTGAAGCAGGAAAATTGTGAGTTGGAGGCCTAGGTTACTTATATAGCAAATTCAACACCAGGTTGGACCACAAAAAAGTTACATTAAAAAATTGTTTGAAGGTACTGGAGAATAACAAATATAAGCAGAACTTGAGGGGTTACAAACCTCGGCTTCTTTTACCAAGGCCAGTTTCTACATGACAGCATGGGGAAATTGAGACCCCAAATTGCTGTTTCATTAAAATGAGGGAACAAAAGAATTCAGGGGCACATAAATGGTTGGGACTTTAGAGGCTAAATCCCAGAAATGAAGGAACTATATCCAAGCAGATTTCCTAAAATCTGCCTACCAATTCTCCATAAGTCATTGGCTATCTTTTAAGTTGTGAATATCTAGGATAAAAACAGCAACTGGGAAATCCAAGAAGTGAACTGAATTTTTATCAGATTGTACTGAGGAGACAGGCTGCATTCCAAGCCAATAAGACCAAAAGTCCCTGGACAATGATCCAGACTTTCAATAATCACCCAGAAGGAACAAATCCTAGAGCTAAGGGCCATGTTCTAGGAGTAAATGCAAAGCCAAACTACATCAGTTTTAATAACACCCAAATCACACCTTCACAGGATGAAGGTGATCTGCCAGTATGCTTGTCTAGCAGAAGAAAACAATTTTCCTTGGAGGATGATTACATCATCCAAAGCCTCTGAAATTTTTCATTTACCATGTCTAACATCTAAATTTTTAAAAATAAGGTATTTGGGAAAAATACTCAAGAATGACTAAAAGTAAGAAAAATAAAGATGAAGGAGAGAAGGAAATAGAAGGGGGGAAAAAAGAAACACCCAAAGTAATCTGGGTATTAACATTATCAAATAAGAATTTTTAAAATTACTATGATTAAAACGTTAAAGAAAAGATGAAAATAGACAAAATGTGCAAAAATAGAGAATTTCAATGGAAATGGGAATCCATAAAAAGACATTTAGAACAAAGTATATCTAGAATTAAAAAGTCATTGGGCATCATTGGAAGAGAACAGAGGATACAAAAACACCCCCAGACACATTCTGTTATAATCTTTGACAGAGGGGCCGAAAACATACATTAGAGGAAAGATAGCCTATTTAACAAATGGTGCTGGGAAAATTGACTATCTGTATGCAGGAGACTGAAGCTTGACCCATATCCTCACAATGTACTAAACTAAAAATGGAGCAAAGATCTAAGCATTAAAACAGAAATAATGAACCTACTGGAAGATAAAATAGTTAAAACACTTGAAATCATATGTTTAGACAAGGACTTTCTGAACAGAACTCCAACTGCAAAAGAAATATCAACAAGAATCAACAAATGGGATTATATCAAATTAAAAAGCTACACAGCAAAGGAAACAACAAATGAGACAACCTACAGAATGCAAAAAAATTTTTTGGCCAGCTACTTCTTAGAAAGAGCACTAATATCTAGAGTATTATAAAGAACTCAAAAAAACCTAGACAATCTAAAATGAGAGACAGTAAAAAAATGGGCAATTGAAATGAATAGACACTTCTAAGAACAAGTATTAATGGTCTACAAACATGAAAAAATGTTCTACATCTCTGGTCATTAGAGAAATGCAAATTAAAACATTTCATCTTATATCAGAAAGAATGGCAGTAATCAAGAAATTAAAAGATAAATGCTAGTATGGCTGTAGTGAAAAAAGAACACTTCTACATTGTTGGTGAGAATGTGAACTAGTACAAATACTTTGGAAATAAGTATGAAGATTTATCAAAAAATTAAAAACAGAAATTCCATTTGACCCAGCTATTCTCCTTCTAGGTAACTTCCCAAAAGAGCTAAGGACATAACACAATGATACACATGTATGCCAATGTTTATAGCAGCACAATGTCATAATAGCCAAATCCAGGAAGTAGCCTGTATGTCCATCAACAGATGAATAAAGAAAAGGTAGTATCTATACATAACAGAATAGTACTTGGCTATAAAGAAGGTTAGATTTGGCTGGTTGTGAGCATTCGGGGAGGCTGAGGCAGGAGGAATGCCGTGAGTTCGTGGCCAGCCTGAACTATATAATGAGACCCTGTCTCAAAAAACAAAAAGCAACCACCCCAAAAAAGATAAATTTAAGACATTTGTAGAAAAATGGGTACACCTGGAAAATATAATGTTAAGTGAAATAAACACACAAGCTTAAATACAATATGGTATCTTTCATTTGAGTAAGGCACAATAAAAGTTTGATAGAAGGAAACAAGATCTTTTGCAAATGGGAAGGGGTCCAAGAGACCAAGGGGAGAGTGGAGAGGAAGGAAGGGAAAAGGATTTAAGATGTATCATGTACATGTACTGAACAGCCACAATGAATGCAAACACTGTTCATAATACAAACAAAAAATAATGGTATTAACGATAATGAAAATGGGGAAAGAGGATCAGGGATGCAGGAAGATGGGTAGGGATGGGAAGGAATAAAAAAGAATCAAGATATGTCATATACATGCACCTACTCCCTAACATGAATGTAAACTTCATGTATTGTAAACATGTACTGATAAAAAAAAACTTTTAAAAAAAGGTGACTGGATAGATTTAATAGCAGTCTGGACACAGCAAAAGAAACAGTGAACTGGACTGAAACACAATGAGAGAAAAGGAATTTTTAAAAATCCAGAGCAGGGCCGGGATTTAGCTCAGTAGCACTGACCTGCCTTGCAAGCACTAAGTTTCTGAGTTCAATCCCCAGTACCACCAAATCCAGAGCAGAGCATAAGTGATGTGTGGTACATAGTTACACAGCTAAGAGGAAAAATTCAGTAAGACAAAAGCAGAGATAATGGCCTAGGACTCACCCAGACAAAGGCATCAACTCATAATTCAAAAAGCTCAATAAATCCCAGGCAGAATAAGCACAAAGAAAAAACTATGATAGTCAAACTAAAGTCAAAGAGAAAATTTGGAAAAGCTGCCAGAAAAAAAGCTTACCTGTTGCTCAAAGGAGCAAAAAAGACCAGCAGCTGACTATGGACATCAGAAAAATAGCAGACTGGTATCATGGGGGGGGGGTAAGAAGAAGGAAAATCTATGCCAACCTAAAATTCCCAATGTAGCAAAAACAGTACTCCTTAAATATGCATGTAAAATAAAGATGTTTTCAGATAAAAGTTGAGAATTCACTTCCAGCACACTTTTTCTATACAAAATAAAAATTCTCAAACTGAAGGAAAATTATCCCAGAAAGAAACATTGAACTAGAAGAATAAAACTGGAAAGTATAAAGATAACTTTTTCTCCCTGGTACTGGGGATTGAAACCGGGACCTCAAGTACGCTAGCCAAGTGTTCTACCTAGCTATATCCCTTGCCCTACCCCTCTTTTTGAGACGAGTCTTTCTAAATGCCCAGATTTGCCTTGAACTGATACTTCAGGGATTACTGATGTGTACCTCAGTGCCTGGCTGTGTGAATAGAACTGCTATAGAATATATGCTGGAATCAATGGACTGTTATTTAGGAATTACTGAATTTCATGCATAGTTATAGAAAACAAAATGGGAAAAATGTCCTTGACAAAAATTACTAATTTTTAAAAAGATGCTACATTTGGACTAAAGAAAAGGCTGAGCAATAATTTTAACATTCTTTAGGAATGTTCAAAGTTCAAGTATACACATTTACTGAAATATGTGAACAAGGATTTATTTATTTATTTATTTTGGTTTTTTGAGACAGGGTCTCACTATGTAGTTGAGACTGACCTGGAACTCACTGTGTAGCCCAGGCTGGTCTCAAACTCACAGTAATCCTCCTGCCTCAGCCTCCCAAGTGCTGGGATTACTGGCGTGTGCCACCACAACCGGCTTCAACAAGGATTTATAAAATACTTACTATGAGTTAGGGACTACTACTAAATACTGGGGCTATAAATATGAATAAGGCAAAGAGAGGCAACTGTGGTGTCACATGCCTGTAATCCTAGTACTTAGGAGGCAGAGGCAGTAGGATCACTTAAGAGTGTGAGCCCAGCCTGGGTTCTGTAGTGAGCTCAAGGCCAGTCTGAACTACATAGTAAAACCCTGTCTCAAAACACACACCAACAACAATTTAAGTCAAAGAATCCATAGTCTAATGAGGGCAACAAACTAGTTTTTCTTCCTACATACACCAAAGGCACAGAGACTTCTTACCATGTGTACTATATACACTTGCAGTATACATTATGCTTAAATTATTGATATCCTAATCCATACACATATATATACAAAAATATGCAGCTACACACATAAAACTGGATCCTTAAAAATACACTGAAAACTAATTTAAAATTTCTAATCTTTGTAACACAGTTTTTCAAATGAGAAAAATGAATCTGGAAGGTTAAGCAATGGTCTTAACTAGTACAAAACAGCATTGTTGCTGGGCGTGGTGGCGTACACCTGTAATCCCACACTCGGGAGGCTGAGGCAGGAGGATCGCTGTGAGTTCAAGACCAGCCTGGGCTACATAGTGAGTTCCAGGTCAGTCTCAACTACATAGTGAGACCCTGTCTCAAAAAAACAAAAAAACCAAAATAAAACAAAACAAAAAACAGCATTGTTTTGAAAGATGTGGTCCTTATATGCCTGATACTCCATGAAGATTTGGGATAATTAATGGTCACTTTTGCCTCCAACCATGTGTTATATTTTACTTCTACTAGAAGGCAGGAAATGATGTGAATATTCACCTTATTTAAATCAATAAGGAGAAAAAAATGGGTAACTAAGGCTCTAATTAATGTCACTGGAAACAAATTTTTAATGAATCCAAGGAATAACTTTTCTTACAAAATAAATCTTTTTCATCAAGGCCAGCAGACTATTATTCAGTAATTTAGGACATTGCTGTTTAGATACAATATTATATTTGCTTTAGACTAAACCATTTTATGCATACCATTCACCCCATTCTATACTTAGTGCAAACTATGCATGTATGTATATATATATATTAAGACAGATAAAATTTAAATTCACAGTAATCTGAACTTCTGAACATCAATAGCATTGTTCACCTAAGTGGAAGAAAGACATGTGATGCTTACGGCATCAGTACAGCCATAAGCAGTATTGGTATTGGTACTGTTTTCCTGTACATAAGGCGTGCAAATTAAAAAAATACATATATATATATATATGTATATAATTTTAAAATTATATATACATACACATATATAACTTTGTATTTGGGTATAGAAACTACTTGGGGTTTTATTTTGTTTTATTTTTTGAGATAGGGTCTCACAATGTAGTCCATGCTGATCTTCCTGCTTATCTGACTAAGTGCTGGGATTACATGCATGTGCTATCATGCCTATCCTAGAAATTCTTTATCATAGTTGAAATCTCAAACTGCCAATAAGTATCCCTTAGCTATGCGACAAACTGGATTACTCTGAGATGCCAGGGATATTTATAGTGTTACTATACCAGAGAATGGATAATAACAAGGATCAAGTTCTAAAATATTCTATAGCTGTTTAGAGATAATATTTCACTTATCTTCTTAATGGCCTATTCTGACTTGGATTCCCTTGGCTGCTTATCAAAGGAGCTTAAAACTTCCCCACCTTCAACACCTACCCAAAGATGTGGCAAAATCAAACCATTTGACTCATACCAGAGAAAGTACCTGTGCGACAAGATTTGAAGGTTCTGACTAGGTCACATTTTCCAGCAATTAAAAATCTAGCAATTTTCTTAGATATTAAAATTCATAAATGTGGATGTGGTTCTTTCTTCATATGTCCCTCTTCCACTTAGGTGAACAGGACCCAGTCGACTTCATTCTGGTCTTCAGGGGCTTGAGGCAATGAATCCAATGAGCTCTGATATGTATACACTATGGAAGTCTTTTTCTTGTGTAATCTCTGGGAGTTGAAAAGTGGAAGGACTAGAAGTGGAGGTGAATAGCCCTCAAGACCAGCTTTGATTTAAAGCTCTGTGGGCCTATGTAGTCTACATATACTACATGTAGTCCAAATCAGTCAATCTAATCAGAGAGCAAGGATGTTTAAATGCTAACCATTCTTTGAGAACAGATTCATCTTAAAATTCTACATGCCTATGAAAAAGCATTAAGACTCATGATAAGTACTATTAATGTTTAAAAATTTAGGTATGCAAATACATTTCCAGTTACTACTTCGGTAACTTCACCATGTAATTAATTTCCATTGTGACCAGAACAAGTTTTAATCTTATATTTGGTACTCACTCTTTAAGGCTATCTGAACGTCTCCTGTTTCTTCCCCATGAAGAACTTCTACTTCGAGTTCTCCTTTGACTGGGGCTTCTTGATCTCCTGTGATCAGCTGGAGAACAAGGATGTCGTTCTTTTGATTTCATTTGGCCTGGTGCTAGAATATGAAAAACAAGGCTTGTAACATAATTCATTACTTGAAAACCACAACAACAGCCAATCAACTAGTATCACTCGCTGAAAGAATTTAAAATTAAAATCTGCCATTGCTGTAACTCATTCTGCTGAATAAAAAAGATCTAATGTTTAGTCACACTTACTTTTGCGATCACCTTGTGCAAACTGTATTTCAATTTGACGGCCACATACCCACTTTCTATTGAGGTTATAAAGAGCATCTTCAGCATCTCGAACATCTTCAAATATGACTAGCCGTTAAGGACACTTTGAACATCAGACAGCAAGTAAACATATTTTAAAGTATTATACATGTAAAATGAAATTAATAGGAAAAGCAAGTTCTAGTTTTTAAGTTCACATCTCCAATATGAACAATCAGAAAACAATTATTTTATTATTATACAATACCCTATTATTATTTAGGAGAATGAATCTAAAAATAAAAAGAACAGGGCTGGGATTTAGCTCAGTGGTGCCACCACCTGCCTTGCAAATGCAAGGTCCTGAGTTCAATCGCCGGTACCAAAAAATAAAAATAAATAAAAATAAAAAGAACAGAAAAAAAATATAACTTTTTAATTTTTTTTTTTTGCAGTGCCAGAAATTGAATGCAGGGTCTTCACACTGAGCTATATGGCCAGACCTATTTGAGACAGGGACTCACTTAAGTCACTAAGTTATACAGGCTGGGCTCAAACTCCTATCTTAGCTTCCCAGAGTGCTGGGATTACAGGTGTGTAGCACCACCCCTGATTTAATTGTACTTTTAATGTATATATTAGTATAGCTACAACGTTCCTGTATAATTTGAAACATGCTATAAGAAAAAAAATTAGTTCCAGGGCCAGGGATATACTTTAGTGATTCCGCCATCTTTCTCAAAAGCACAAAGTCCCAAGTTCGATCCCTGGTACCCCCCAAAACAAACAAACA